TCGAACGAATTAAATAATCTGATCCGCGATCCACCTAGGGAGAGAACGATCCGTTCGCGCGAGTGACGGCCGCTCATGAAGAATGCGCTTCGTTATCGGACAACGTTAATTACAGCCGGACCGTGCAATCGAGACGTGCGACGTTATAATCTCTCAAGCCCGAATTAATCCTCGTGTTCGACGGTCGTCGATATTTTCTGACGATAAAGCCCCCCACAAGGCTAACGCGACAGTTCGAAATAGGGCATTGGTGGGAATGTGTGTGTTAAAATTTTGTGTTTAATAAATTTTAATTAATTACGATCGCGATGGAACATTCCAACTAGATCCTGACCCTGGACCTAATCAAGTTGGTCCTAATTAGTTATCTGGTCTGGAATAGAGCGACATTATCGAGTTCTACTTGGCCGCAGTTACGTAAGAATAATTTAACCCACATGAAGTATGTTAGCATAGGATCTTGGGATAAATTCCTAAGGGGTTTGCTATCCGTCGGCGCTAAATTCGATCGATTACCGAACGAAGACGACGAGCGGCGGATGACGGCAACGACTGCTATCGATACGACGCAACGGAGAGAGAGATGATTTAATGTACATCGGTTTACATGAACCCTGACTCTTGTGCGCCACCGTGACCTCGGAGCTGAACCCAACGTAGGCACAAGTACCCGACTGTATCGGCGGATCCAGGCCTTCGGCGAAGAGGGAGGCAGGCAGCTCGATAGACAACGATAACGATTGCGATCGCCTCCGAACTTTTCCACGACAACGCCTGTTTGTTGCGCGAGGCGGAACTCGAAAATCTTACACACCCGATGGAAGATCGCGGCCGATCGAGATCGATTGAAGTTGCGTCGTAAATCAATGGTCACCTCGACCAACCCGATCTCCGACGACTCCATCGAGATAATTAGCTCGCGCTGATTGCAGACGATAAAGGTTTAATCTACAGAACGCGTCTTAATTACGACTGGCCGCGATATAATACACACATACACACACACGCGCGTGGTTAACTGATATCGTTCGATCATCGTCCACTCCACAATCCCCGCTGTTGATATCCGCTCGCGATCGGCGGTTCGATGCGAAGCCGGGACGACGATTTTCGGGAATTGCGACGAAAGACGTCATTACGTTGGAAATATTTCGCCGGCCGCGAGTGCAAATCGTCGATCGGCCAAAGTATGCCGCTTCTGATATTTTATGCATGTCAGCGGGATCCCCTCGTGCAAATGAAGTAACGAGCGATTGCGCCACCTGACAAAAGGCTAATTTCATGCTAATAATTTTGTTCTTTTCAAAGCGTCGCGATAGAAAAGCACCGTCGCTCGTGATTAACGTGTGTCGACGCGCCGATTGCACTACAACAACTCGGTCGACTTCGAATTGCCTGCACCGAGGAAACAAGTGAGTCGAGTTAACGAAACTTTGCTTAAACCGACAAAATTCGCTCGAACAAACATCTAGTCGAGATTGAACGAATTATATAGTATTGCTGCGATAAGAGTTAGCGATCCATTCAGTGGCCGCAATTTTATCAGCAACGTGCGACTTGCTGTAGTACCAACACTGTGGTACTAACTGAATTGTCCAATAGGTACAATATTTTTCCGTGACTGCTGATTTAACTCTTTTTTTTTCCTCAATGTGCAAACGGCCGAGTAACGAGCTCCTCGTTATACCGAAAAAAAAAGTTATCTAAGGAATAGTGAATATTTATTTATAATATGTGGGTTGCTAATAACATATTCACTTAAGCTGCGTGATGTAAAACATTTTTCAAATAAATAAATGTACATTTCCTTAGATCTCCTTAACCTGCTCAAATTAATTTCTCATGTTTAAAAAATTGTTCATTTGCTCACGTCACGAGACGGGAACAACAAAATTTTATTGAAAATAAATAATGATGAAACTGGATAGTGACTTCAGAGTCATAGTGGGCAGTAGAGGGTTAAACCTTGGCTCCCCACGAAAACGATTGTTTATTCTGTTTGGATAAAGGAAACTCGGGTTTAAATGAATGTTATTAATATCCATCAAATAGATATTTGCGATTTCTTTAATTCTTTTTCTCTCAGTGTATTTTGAAATTTGCGTCTCTTATCTTGCGCGCGAGACGCTTCACTTTCGCGTTATACTTTCAGCCGACCTTTGAGAGGAGGTTTGAAGCAAATGAATGTTAAAGAAAGAAAAAAAATAAAGAAAGAAAAATAGGCAAGAGCGCCGTTCGCGTGAAAAAGAAGCGTCTTTTTGCGTACTTTTATCGTTCGACCAAAACTTTCAAAACATCTCTCGCATACTCGACCTGACATCTTGCACTCTCGCCGTACTTACGTAAAGATGGTTACGAAATGGACGTACGAAACCGCCTGACTCGACGCGATAACATTTTTCGGAGCACGCGTCTTCCCCCCT